AACCATCAGATCCAGTTTCATCTGCAGGAAAGCTTTGTATACAAATACTGCTCAGAGGTCATTTTCATTCAGCACTGAAAATAACATCTCTGCACAAATCCTAAAGTATTTTGAAGCTTTGTGCCTTTTTAACAGGAAGAGGTTTTTCCTGCCAGCACTTTGTGGGTGAAAACATACTGTATGATAGCTAATGCCACAGATGTATACAAAGACTATTATTATATTGAGTGAATTAATATATTTTAGTAAAATTATGGTTAAAAATATGACTACATTTTACTATCAATAGCAGTATAGCAGTACTGCTTAACGAGGTTCGAATGATTACAATGAAGTTTTGGTTGTTGAAAATCCCATATTAACCCAATTTATGAAGAGCTGCACCTAAATGATAACTCTTTAACTACTACCAGTTTATTTTAATACTAGTGACCTAGTGTTTATGTCAGTTAATCACAAACAGGTATACCTCTAGTCCAAAACATTTATTAAAAACGCTATACCCTACCGGCTTGTTTGAATTTCATATTAAAGTCTTATGTCGAAATGAAATCAGCACTCTTCTCACTTTGTTTAATTATCTGTTGATACACCTGTGTGAATCATCTGGAATCTTCTATAGATGACTAATCCTTGTGATCTTATTTCTTCAACTTCTTCAGACAGGCCTAGTATGAAGGACATTTGACAAAAAACAATGACAAAAACAATGACATGTGACACCTTTGCAGTTTTGGTCACTACACCTGGGCTTTCTGACTTGTCCTTTAGTACATTGGTAATGTTTGTGTTCTATTAGTGCAAAGTGAAGGTTCTAGTGTTTCCTTATCACTAGAGTTTAAAAATACCTGATAATGTATAATAGCAGAATTGCTTGAGAAAACAGGCCAGAAGTATATATATATTTAAAAAAAGAAAATCTACTCATTTTCTTTGCAAACATATTTGCAAGTGTAAGTTTCTTTGTGCGTACACATGCAGTGTACACCTAGATATAGGTATGTGGGTGTACAGTATGTTGTATATGTCTGTTTGTGCACAGAGGTATATGAACATGTATAGTTGCATCATGTACTGTAGATACAGGTGTATGAATACAAGAACTAATGTAGATTATACATCTTAGAACCTCGTGTTTTTCTCTATCTGTATATGAAGTTTGAGTGGAGAGCTGCATCAGCATGTGTTACCAGAAAGGGGCTCATAACACATGATAATGGATATATACTGTATTTGAATGTGATGCAGCAGTTTCTGTTACAGCAAATGGGACATTTTAGACTTTCACAGCAAAAGGGCTAACTTTTTTTTAATTACCTAGAGAACATGGTTTACTGCATGTCCTGCAGAAAATGCCATGCCATTTACATCAACAAAATTGGAAGAAGACTCCCTGGTGTTTC